GCCGGGGGCCCGGGTGGACAAAAGCTCAACCACGCACCACAGGATGTTCCCGACAGCCGAGAGGTCCTCTGCAATCAGCAGTGTTTTCAGCCACCGCCCACCAGCCTCAGGAGGGGCAGCTCTGCAGGGCAGAGGACACAGCTGACACCAGCACCACCGGGGCCACGGGCAGCGCCGGCCACGGGAGAGCACCAGGCAGGCTGGAGCAGGGCAGGTGACAGAATCCAGGCGCCATTTCTCCAGGACAGAGCCAGAGCAGAGGAAGGGAGGCACCGCGCCCCAGGAGGACCTGCCCACCCAAGCTTACATTCTGCCTGGGGGAGGGGCCTTCCAGACACTTCCTGTTGGATTAGGAGCCTAGAAATTGCTCCTCCCATGACAGGAGTAGGTAGGTAGGCAGGTAGGCAGGCAGGTGGGTGTTGCGTTGGTAGGATTACCTCGACAGCGCACAAAGCCAAGAGAAAAGAAGGGCCACTCCTGAGAGGATGACCCCAGCAGCTCTGCACAGGGACACAGTTCACTTCTGATCCTATCTCCCTTTAAAAACGAAGGGCACAAATAGAACATTGTAGCCCCAACAAAGGCCTGGACAGAAGCCAGCCATGTCAAAGAGATGATGATTTCCCCCTATTGTTTGCTTCTGGCTCTAGATGGCACACCCCCAAAATCACAAAGTCAGGAGCCCGGGCTCGTCGCCCTTTCTACTGGTGAGAGCCGACAGATACCAGCGCCGTCTGAGTGACAGCGACGTGGCGCCCCAGAAAAGCGAGCCAAATGCTCTTGTATTGTACCCAGACCTCTTGGGGGGGGGCAGGCAGCAAGGCAATGCCAAATTCCCAGTGGGCTTGAGCCTTTCTGGCTGATTGCCACAGTCAGTGGTGGGGAGCACGTCATACTCCCTGAGTTCATTTCTACCCAAAGGAAAGTTTGAAAAGCTCTCCATCTCTAAAATTAGTCCTTATCAATGACTGTCCAAAAAAATGTGTTCAAGAGTGATTGTACCCACTCGCCTGGCGGAGCAGAACCAAACTTTTGTGTGTCATCTTGGAAAACGTGTTGGTGCCGAGGGGACCCATGACAATGGCCTGGCGAGCCTTTTGAGAATTCACGTGAGTCATCTGTCTCCCCCAGAGCGACTAGAACAGGGCTTCGCACACAGTAGGCATGCGGGAACAGGTGGCTTGAAAGCACTCCTCTAATGGGCTTCAAAAAAAAAAGAAAAGAAAACCTCAAAGTCAGACAAGGTAAAAGCCCACCTTTCAGAAAACCACCAGATGAGCTCTCCCTGACTGTAACCGCTGTCAGGCAGCTTCTCTCCCTGGTTTATCTATCTGGCGAGGATTTAGAATGTGGCACCTGTTGGCAATCCACTCTTTAATAGTTGGAGGCATTTCACATTGACATGCATGTTGTCAGATGACAGGGGTTGGTCACTTCTCAATCACCTCCGTCTCCCCACGATGCCTGGAAGAGTGTCTTGGTCACAGAAGTGACTCAACGTGAGACTGCTAAACAGCCAATTTCATTTTTAATTTCCGAGACAGCTCCGGGAGGGGAGGCAACGAGGCCCGATACAATTAATAGACAGAGACGGATTTCTTTGCTTCAGCAAATGAGCTGCGGAGCGGAGAGTCACAGAGCCCTACCCTGGTCACAAAAGGCCCACCGCTGGCCGAGCCTCCATCACTGACACCTGTTTGCTCGTGTCCTGAAACTGCTACCCAGACATTCCTTCCTGCCGCTGAGCCACCTGCACTTTCAAATGCTTCTAAAATAGAAGCCGAGTCGGAAGAGCATGTCCATTAATAGAGCCCCCAGCCCCTCTCCCAGGGCCTCCAGATCCCTTTCATGGCATCAGAATCTGACTTGAAAAGAACTCGGTGAGCGTGGAGTTCTAATTCCACCTGGCTCAGGAGTCCCAGGGAAAACATCTCTAATATGTGGTCACCTGTCCTTTGATTTAACGCCGCTTCTGACAAAGAGCCACCATCTCCTGACAGCCGTTCCATTTCAGAGCCCTAATTGTTGGAATATCCTTCCTTGGGCTGAGCTGAAATCTGCCTGTTGAAACTGCCTCCCATAGGTTCTAATTTTGCCCTCCCGAGCCACAGAAAATACACCTTAATGCCTTTTCCACGGGACAATCCTTTAAGGGGCTGAAGACACTTATTCTTCACGGTTCGTCCAAATAAGACCCTGATCGTAATGAACTGGGAGCTGCGCTTTCCCGTCCAATGGGTCCAGGAGCCTCCCTCTGGCAGAGAGCCCCGCCGGTGATATATGTTGATATATGTCCGCACTTCATTTACCGCAGACAGACAGAGCCCCTGGTTCCTTCGCGCCTGGTAACAACCCGAGGCCGTTCATCACCCACTTGCTCCTTTTCGAAATTCACTCTGCAGCAAGCACTTTTAAAGTCATGCACGTAATGCATTTAAAGAGCGCTTTCTGCACAGAGCCATTTGCTCAGCCCCGGCACTAAGTGCGAGACGGAACAGTATTTCAGCGACGTCCTCCTGCCCCCAGAGCCCGTGTCGAATGTACGCCAGAAATGTATCGGTAACTATACATGACTGGGGCTCTAAATGCAGTGCTTTGTTAAATGTTCATTTGCTGATTAAAATGCATCTTGCAAAGAAAGTGCATTAGTAATGCAGAATCTAGTCCAAAAATATGTATTATGTAATGCACATTTTTTAATAATGCAGGCAATCTCGGTGTATCTATATTAGTGGATCGGCCCCGGGCTGCCAGCTCCATTATAGGCAGAAAGCACTCCTTTTGCAAAACGAAATACTTTCTTATGTACGCTAAAGAACCATAATCCACCTCGTTGCTGACAGCTGGCCTTTGTCTCCACTGAAAGGGCATTCAGCAGCACCCACATATTCCTGAGTTTTTCCCAATGTTCCCTGAGAACCACTTGAACGATGTCTTTATGTTCCACTCACTGTCAGGGGGGCTGAGCTGATGGAAGAAAGCAAGCGGGCGGGTCAGCGTGAGCAGAACCTTTAGAAATGTCTCAGGTTGGGGCTGAGAGACCAGGATTTGAGATCTGCAGCTCCAAAGGGCCCTGTCCCGTGTCCCCTGATGCCATCCATATGATGACTGGAGCCATCCAGACACCCGTGATAATAAAACCCTTTCAGTCGCTCTGCAAAGTGGTAAGGAGGAGAGCACAACGAGAATGCAGACGTCTGTCTTTTTACGAGGTTTGCAATCAATCCCACTTTATTAGACCAATCAGTATTTTAATGCTACAAACTAACTCGAAGAAAACAAGATGCAAGATAGACACAGCCAAGAAGACAGGGCAGGAGCATTCAAGACCATCCCCAGCGAAGATGCAGAAACAAAACCTCCACATGTCAAAACAGTCGCTAGGATCTCACTAAGGTCTTAACTCTGGGTTCAGCAGCTCTAAGGCAGGCATGGTGCGCAAGGGATAAGGGTGAGCCACACCACACTGAGGAATAGCTGTGGGTGCAGGACACTTCGGGCACCAGGAAGCAGTGCCAGGAGGGGACACCTGGTGGACCACCTCAGAAGGGAAGGCAGAATTACCTCATGGACTCTTCAAGTTTCCCCCATGTTGATTCAAAGACAAGAAAAACCACCTGTCGCACCTGTAAAGCCTTGTTGCTTCCACAGATTCTAGGAAGATGGTTTTGCCCTGAGTTATACCACCGGTGGACCTGTCACAAGGGCAAAAGTGATGCTCCGTATTTTAACGGGGAGGGCATGCACAACCCAGAAGCAGCAGTCAGGTTACAGCTGGAACCCCAGAGCTTCCGAAGCACCATCCTGCCTGAGCAATGACCACTCCACGGATCCCCACTCCAGGAGGACATGGAGCTCATTTGATTCTCCAGGGCTGAGAAAGAGATGGACTCATTTCCTTTGGGGCTCAACGACATGACCTAGGGTGTCGAGGGGTCCCTTAGCCCTAATGCTCTGGCTGATCCAATAATTTTCTCACTAGAATGCACGCCGGGTTAAACAATGTCGGTGGGTAAGGAGGGAGTCCTGAGTGGTTTAATGCTCTGAGTAACAGCAGATTAATTCTAAGTATCCTTTCCTTGATGTAAGATTTTCTTTTCTTTCCTTTTCTTCTTCCTACTCTATCTTCAGCACCTAGAACAGAGCTTGGCATGTGCTAGGCACTCAACATTTGTTGAATGAACTCACTTGTTGAATGAACTCACTTCGTTGAAAACCTATTTATGAAAAGAGCTTTGAGTGGTACCCAGCGGTTTCCTTGATAGCTGATCGCCCTGCAGCGCCCCCCAGGGGCAGACAATTGGCTGCACCTACTGAATAGCACAGATTAACTAGTGGTTCCAGCTAATTAGACTTTCGGCACATGTTCTCAGCTAGAGCTCAGGGTGGTCCACCAACGGGCTTGGGGACGTGTAAACCATCACTCCGTCTGTCTGTGGGGGTCCTTCTTAGGGAAGATGCTCACCTATCCATTAGGTAACTAATTAGTCTCTTGAGACCGCATTGGTGGTTGGGGGGATTGGAAACTGCTCAGATTACGGTCACTGTACCAGGTCTGCCAAAGGTGATCTCATGATTAATGATTGCCTGAGGTTACCATGCTCAGACTATTGAGCCCCTGGAAAATGCCCGGAACCGCACCGTTAATACTGACGTACAGAAGCTCATTCCTCCGGAATATCCGCAATTTTGCGGTCTGGTTTTTAGCTGCTTCGGGCTTTGTTCAACTTATCGATAACCCTGGAGAAGCTGGGGAGCGGTACGGACCCCACGGAGAACCCATGCCTAGCTGCGCAAGCACCCTAACCTGTAGCTAGCTCGCTCGCTCGCTCCTTGGCACCCGCCAGGCCCCCAGCCGCTCCCATCGCCCAAATCCTTTCAAACAAGGTTCCCTCCTGCCACCTGCCGGCCCATTAGGGTCTACGCCTCGGGCTCGGCGCCACTGCGCAACTCATGCGGAGCCGCCCCCGCCTCCCTACTGCACATGCCCGGCAGAAGTCCGGGCGCGCAACTTTACAGAACCTCTCCGCCCCATTTGTCTTCGCCTCAGTCTCCTCTTTCCTCTCCCAGGCGAGAGGACCAGCGGAGGCACTTCTCCCCGAGTCTTAGGCTCTAGAGTCTAAGACTTAGAGAGAGGAGCCTGGGAGGAGATAGACTTTTTCTCCCCTTTTCCCATCCCTTCTTTTTGCCCAGAGAGGCAAATAGAGGCGCGGAGCTTTAGAAAGTTGAGTGGTCAAGAAGGTAGGTGCTTCCTTTTTCTCCTCGCGCCGAGGTGGGGCTGGGACCTACGGACCCAGCTTCTTAACCTCGCGAGGAGCACCTTTTCCGGCTCTAGCAGCCGATGCTCTCCGGAGCTGCTCTCTGCAGAGCCAGAGGGTGGGTCGGATTCGCCGAGTGTGTGTGAGGATGGATCGCAGATCCCGAGCTCAGCAAGGGCGCCGAGCTCGCCACAGTTACAACGATCTGTGCCCACCCCTAGGCCGCCGGGCAGCCACCGCACTCCTCTGGCTCTCCTGCTCCATTGCTCTCCTTCGCGCCCTCGCCACCTCCAGCGCCCGCGCCCAGCAGCGCGCGGCTGCCCAGCGCCGGAGCTTCCTTAACGCCCACCACCGCTCCGCCGCCCAGGTATTCCCCGAGCCCCCCGAATCCGACCACGAGCACGAGGAGGCAGACCTCGAGCTCTCCCTCCCCGAGTGCCTGGAGTACGAGGAAGAGTTCGACTACGAATCCGAGACCGAGACCGAGTCTGAAATCGAGTCGGAGACCGACTTCCAGACCGAGCCTGAGACCGCCCCCACCACTGAGCCCGAGACCGAGCCCGAGGACGAGCGCGGCCCCGTGGTGGCCAAGCGCCGCACCTTCGACCAGTCTCTCACTGAGCGTCTCAACGCCCTGAGGTTGCAGAGCCCCGACGCCTCCCCGAGTCGCGCGCAGCCCAGCACTCGGGAGTCTGAGAGCCCCAGACAAGGGGAGGAGCCCGAGCCCGAGGACAAGGATCCGAGGGACCCCGAGGAGTCTGAGCAGCCAAAGGAGAAGAAGCAGCGGCGGCGCCGCTGCAAGCCGAAGAAGCCCACCCGCCGCGACCCATCTCCGGAGTCTCCTTCCAAAAGGGGACCCATCCCCATCCGGCGTCACTAATGGAGGACGCGCCCCAGATTCTCCTTGTTTTCTTTGACCCAGGTTGGTGACCAACCGCTAAACTGGGGAGTCTGGGGTCGGTGCAGGAGCGGCGGGAGGAAGGGAGGGAGAAGCAAAGGCAGGTTAGAAGGAAGGCGGGAAGAGAGCGGGCTCAGCTAGCTAGCCCCGGAGGCGGGGGCGCAGGGCGAGCTGGGAAGAGCTCCGCGAATCTCCCCCGGGGCGCTGGCGGGCGCCCGGGGGGCCAAAGGCCTGTTGGCCGGAGGGGCGGCGGGGCGCTCCTCGCGCCCCTCTGGAGACAGCCTGAGGTCTCCGAGCTGGTGTCCAGGATGCACGACTGAATTCCGGGAGCACCCCAGGTTTCGAGCTGCACACCCAGAAGGCACGGGTAAGTACTTTGTGTACTTTGTTTTACGTGCTTTTTTCCCTCCTAGAGTAAGTAGTCTCAAACCAGTTGGCCTTGGCGGGTGCCAGAAACGTGGTTCGGAGGTGCTCGCGCCAACTTTCAGAAAGCAGAGCCGCCCGGCGGTAGCGACACTGTTGCAATGTGCGAATACTAACCAGGCTGGGATTGGGCGACAACTCCGGAGACTGCCGGCTCCTGGGGAAAGTTGCGCGCGCACCCGCGCGCCGCTTAAGACACTCGGAGCCTAGAGCCCAGGTCCCGTCGCTGTCAATTTGGAGCCGCCGGACCTCGGCGCCAGTGCCCCCCGCGGCTGCGCGCCGGTCCTGGCCGCCAACGCCCGTCTCCGGGCGCTTGCGGGGCCGGAGACCGCAGCAAAGAGCGTGCGCAACTGCCCGCACGCCCCAGAGCCGACCTCTTAAGAGCCGGCCGGCGGTTCCCCACGAGTCACCGGTGCTTGGAAGGCCGGCAGAGGAGGTACGGGAGTCTTGGGAGGTGCCCAGCGGGCTACCAGGGTTGGTGGCGTGGGCTTGGTCACGTCGGGGCATCGCCAGCCTTTTGGCGCAGCTAGTCTGGTGGCGGGGCTGGGTGCAGCTTGGCTGGAGAGGTCCCGGGCTGTTTGCGCAAGGGCCTGGGGATGTAAGAGAGGGGCTAAGAGGTCAGCGAGGTGGTCACGAGCGGAAAGGTAAAGCGGACAAGGAACAAGCTGGAGAGGGAGTCGCGCCTATCACCAGGGAACCCTACAACGCGTCCCCAAAGAGCGCGGCACCCGCCAAGCTGGGTAAAGGTGTTGGATCCGACGCAAGTCCTTGGGCGATCGGTCGAGAGGGGGCAGGAGCCGGCGGCTACGGCAGCCTCGAGGAGGGGAGGGGAGGGGAGGCTGCGCGCACCGGCCATTTTCAGCTCCGGTGGAGCTAAGTTTGGAATCTGTAACCTGGAGGCGAAGCTGCCCTGGTGTCGGAGCACAAAAACGGCCGCAATCCGGTAACGCATCTTCGGTGCGGAAAGTGTGCCTTTCTCACCAGTCCTGGGGGAAAAGTCCTGGTTAGTGAAATGTATTTACAAAACCTCACCCGATTTGGAAGTTGGCTTTATCTTGGTGCGCGCGCGTCTCGTTTGGCGTTGGTTTGAGCTATTCTGATGAGAATGATTTGGGGGGGGAAAGTGAAACGTTTTGAAACTTGAAAAGACGACGGGTCAGGTTCTTAGACTCCTAAGATAAGGTTGCGGCCAGAAGGAACACACGTTAAAGGGTCTTCCTTCCAGGTCTCTTCCCTGGGCAAGGCGTCGCGGAGCCCCAGAACTTCTGGGCTGCGGCGCTCGCTGACTAATGGCTGTTGGATGCCGTTCTGGTCTTCACTAGTAAATACCGGAAAGGGGGCTTCCCTGGGCAGCGGGGATATGTCCAGAAGTCTGGAGACTGCCGAGGACTTGTAGAAGGGTCCGGTGCGCCCTGGCTTTGGCTTGAAAGCGTGAAACTGCCTAAGTGAAATGAGGCTCCCCAAAGCTGACATTTCTACTTAGTGTAAAAACAGCGGTTCTGCGTTCCTTTCCGTGGCATTAAGTGTTCTGTTTTTTCTGTTAACGTCTTAGCAGCCTGAGTTCACCCAGTAAAATGTCTCTGGTGAATAGGCAAAATCAGTCAGGGGTGCGGTTGGCTTTTTTGGTGTGCTTTTCTGTGTGAGGGCTGCCCTCACAGGCTGGGGAGTTTGGGGGGACCCGTTTTCCTGCAGAGCTGGGTTTTTCATTAGAGAAATTAGCATATCGCCTTGTTGCAGGATGAATATACAAGTTTTTTTTTTTAAGTCGTCAGTGCCTAGCCCACACCTGTCACCCCAGTCTTGGGCTCTTTTTTAACCTGAAGTCTGCATATGGAGAGGCTGTCTTTCTTAACAGTAACTAATATACCAGGTTAGTTGTTGCGGGGCGGGGGTGGGGGGGGCCCACGTAGGAACACACAGTTTGCCATCTTTCAGACGCTCCTCCATAAAGTACCTGATTGTGAAAACCTGTTACCCACCCCCACCGCCCTCCCCCACTCAGTTCCCCTCCCCCACCCCCTCTCCTTCCATCCTGATTCCAGGGTGGAAGAGTCATTAGGCACATCCACAACAACTGAGGAGCATACCAAACCCCTATGACCAGGACTCACCCCATGGAGAGGGGGTTTTGCTACAGAGACGCTTCAAAAAAACACTCTCTACCTGAGGCACTGGTGTTTAGCTGCCTCTCTTTTCTAGCGGCATTTCTGGCAAGTTTTCCAAGCATTCCCAACTCACTAGTCTCCCGACTAGCCCTTTGTCTCGCCCTGCTCAACTGGGGTGTTAGCATTTGAATGGGCTTACTTGCCCTTGCAACTTAGGAAATTGTCTTAGAAAAAGCAGACCTTAAGAGTTGACCACTGGGGTGAATTACCAGCCAGTTATAAGGTTTCGATTGGAGAGAAAGGGGAAGAGGAGGGGAAGGAGGGTAAAGCTACTTAAATTGTAAGCTCTGATATTCAGGATTTTTAATTTTGCGACGTTAATCATTTGTTTATTAGAAACGTGCTTTTTCTTGGACAAAGGTGCTCTTAACTGAACTTTTTGAGTTGGAAAGTCACGCAGCAGTGTTCAGATACTGTGTGGTGTCAACAATCTGGTGTAGGTTTACTTCTGAGGTTTGGCAAACGACTTCTAATCTGTTTATCAGAATTCAGGAATTGGGAATTTTAAAGTTTGGAATTGCTTTAAGATGATGTTTCTTTAACGCGCTAGAAACTTTTTCCCCTTGGAATTGCTATCAGCCCTTTACGCTTCAGCCCTCATTTTTAGCAGCTGTGATAGAGGGTTTAATGAGAAAAAGCTGAAACTTCAGTGTAGGTAAGAAGGAGGTTTGTTTTTTTGTTTGTTTTAAATAACCTGCATGGATTTTACTTCATTTGTCTGTATTGTTACTGCTCTTCATGTAAAGGGAGGCTATGGAGAGGAAACTGAGCAGAAACCTTGGTGTTTGGGGAAAGTATGTCTCTTTAACAGAAAGGTGACCTATAACAGCAAATCACTAGAATCAAATTAAGCTTCCAGAGTGATGTCATATGCCAGCTCAAGTGCTACCCTTCTCTTAAAAATTGTCCAGCAAAGGGGGAATGAGATTCTCATATTACATCTTTAATCCCCATGTTCCAGAATGAGGGATGGAATTCCTCGTCCTGCTCTGCGGTATTTTCTAAATCCTGATGCCCCAGAAGTGGGCAGCAGGATCTAAGACCTCAGGCTCTTCTCACCCTGGCCCTGCCCAGCAGCCTCGGGTCAGACCCGGTGGCCTCTGCCTCAGTTTCTTCACGTGGAAAATGAAGTAGCTGAAGAGATGGTCCTAGCACCCCTTTCTGCTCCCAACACTTGGAGGTTGATTAAGAAGCCTGGAGTTGCCCAATTTGACTCATACCAATGATTTTAATGCTAAAGGAGCCCCCCCCGCCCCCGCCCCAAACGTTAAAGCTTGATAGAATAAAAGCACCAGTTGGGAAGAAATCCATTTTGTGTTGATCTAATTTGATTTTCCCAAATCTGGTTTTGAATTGGGGGCAAAAATGGTTTCGAGGCCAGTTAGAAATAAATAAACGATAGATAAGTAAGCAGGCAGGCAGGTTAGAGAATTCAGAATTCCACTGTGTTCTATTACTAACGGGGGGGGGGGGTGGCCTCCTCAAGAGCAGATACTTAAGTGTTTGTCTTAGGTGCGCTGGTTTTCCCACCTGCCCTCCCTGATCTCAGGGTCGGGGCAGGGAGCCCTGGAGCCAGCCTGGCCCTGAGCGCTGCAGCCGGGAGATGCTGGCCGCTTTGGGAGAGAGCAGACTTGACAGCCCCGCTGCTTAACTGACCGCGTTCCTTGGTAACTCCTTCAAGTGCCCGATTGGTGAGACCTGAACAAACAGCCCAGAGGCGGCAGTGAGGACAGCCAGTCCTCTCGACCTTTGTCTGTTTTTGCTCTCATCACCCCTCCCAGGAGCTTCTTCACACATCTTTTTCTTAATTAGTCCTCGCCCATGAAATGTGAATACCACAGACATAGAGATATGTCGTCTGTGTTTCTGTACTGCGGGATCTGCTAATAGCTAAGGTTTTTTTTGCACTCCCCCCAAACCAATCTTGTCTCTGTTGCAAATGCATGAGATAAAGAAAGCAAATGTTTTAAAAAACTGGTTTATGTCAAATTGAGTGATTTAACATTCCGTTTTTGTTTTGTATTTTAAACTTTTGGGGGGCTACGTATTAAAAGGCTATATATAAGGTGGATTTTACTGATGTTTGGTTTCTCTTCCTTACATCTCATGTTTTTTCCCCAAGCCCCCTGGTGCCGATACTGGTGCTAGTACCTACTTAATTCACACGGCAGAGAAGCCAGAGTAAACAGCCTAGTGACTCAGTTCTCCCAAGCCCAAGAGTCTGCAGTGCAGGGCCACCATCACCTGCTGACAGCACTCAGCCAGTTGAGGCGGGACACCTGAGATGAGCTGACGCCACGGAACCCACCCCCCAACTCCCTATTCCAGGGTAGAACCGGGAAGGCAGCCTCCCCCAGCTTCACGTGTGGACACGGCCTGTTTTTTGGGCTTATTTTAGGCTGAGCACGTGGCCAATTAGCTGGGGGGGGCACAGATATCAGGCCATAGCTAGAGGAGGCTTCATGGACAGAGGGCAGGTGGTGGCTGTAATGGGGGGTAGACGTGAGAACGACAAAAGGAAAAGAAGGTTTGGGGGGATCACAGGAAAAAGAGGGAGACAAGACACCTGACAAGGAAAAGATGAGGTTTGGAGATGGGGATCACAAAGCCTATAAATGTTAGGGCTAGAAAGAACAGGTTGAAGCACGAGATTGGGGGAGAAAAAGGTTTAGGGGAGACTCCACGGCAGTCTTCAAATACGTGGTGGCAGCAGGGGCAACGTCAGCTTAGCATGAGGAAGAGCATTTTTCACAGACAAGGATGACAAGGGATGGCTGCTAATGGGGGTCTCAGATTAGTCACCCTTAACCTCACCGTCCCTCTGAGAGTCTCCTACAGGCCTGGCCCAGAAGTGTCAATTTCGTAGGTGCTGTAGAGTTGTCATACGTATTACCTCAGCTGCTTCAACTAAATGGCAAGATTCACAGCCTAGGAAATCCTGCTTCATATGGCTCAAATCCTAAGTCTTGGATTCTGGTTCAGGGAGAGTCCCCGAATCTCAAACTTGAGCGGTGTTAAGGGGTGCAGGGCCAAAGACTCCCCCACCCCGCCCCTGCTGAAGAAGACAAGTTTCTCCTCCCAGACGCGAGAGCCGGCTTCTGAGTGCCCTGGCTTATGTTGCTGTCTCAGTTAGATTTCATTAGGAAACTGCGCTCTGGGTAATTGAGGTTGTGCGCGAAGGTGAAATATACCATTCCCCTTAAATTCAAATCACTATGCCAAGAATCAACCGGGGTGCCTGGAATTTCCAACATGAATTACCAAAATTTCAAACAGAGCTTCCACTAAAGCCAAATTTCTCTTCCGGGATTCCCTCCCGCCATCCCAGTCCCCCACTTTTGCCCCCTCTCAGTCCCCTTCCTGGGGTGGCACTGGATCCACCACTTCTCCCCCTGAAATACTCTGCTGCACCACCACGCAGCGTGGAGACCACAGCTTCATCCAGGTGACTGGAGAATGTCTGGACCCACCCTACAAGCGCAGGGGGTTAGGTGCCTGCGGGTCTGCAGCCAGACCCGGGTGGCCGGTCCAAGACGAGGGCTGCCGAGCACAGCTAGTGAGCTGAACGAGGGGGTCTGAATTCATAGTGGGAGCCCTTGGCCCCTGGGGCTCCAGCCTGGGGCTTTTCACTCTGAGCAGGTCAAGTCTTCTCATACATCTGGCTGCCACTGTCTGGCACCATCAGCCCTGCATCTGCCCCTAAGCCTCATCCACTTGAGGCATTTTCCTTGCACTTAGCATTTGCCTGAAACAGCCCGGTCACGCAGACCCTTCTGAAGACAGCAGTAGGCTGCTGCCGCCTGCACCGGCCATGGCTGGCAGAGGAGATGCTGAAAGGGAGAAGGATGGGCGCAGCGAGTCCTAATTGAACAGTAATTAATTGAACAGCTTCAAAGTCTTATTGCTACTCAGTCAGCACTCAGAAAACATTTGTCACCGGGAGGCTGAGAAACATAATCGCCTGAATTCGCTTCCCTTTGTCCTCCCCTTTGCCTTTTCCTCACAACCAGTGGAAAGATTCTCCTCCTCATTTGAAAGTAACCCACTGGCAGCTAATGACTCGAGGGGGCTGCAGAGAAGGCTCTTCCGCAAACTGCCCCCCACCCAGTGCCCTGCTAGGAGGAAACGCCGCCCCCAAAGATCACGTTTTCCTGGTTTCTGCTCTCTTCTCTCTTGCCTACCCCCCCTCCCTCTCAAGGGACCCTCTTCCACTTTGCTTTCTCTTTCTTGAATACAGGGATGAACTAAAAAAGAAAGCTGGCAGGCAGCTACTTAAAATCTGGATGGGGCTTGTGCCTTGGGCAATGAGTAAGAGTCCCCGAACATAAGTACCGTGAGATTGTTCACTGATTATGACGTGTGCTGCCATGGAGGCGTCGATATAGCGCAAGATGGAGTTGGGGAGGCCCAGGGAGTCGTGTGGAGCCGCATCCCTGCAGGTGGCACTGGTGCCGTTCAGAGTCAACAGTGAAGAAACACCGTCCTTCCGTTTGGGGTTTTACCTCTTTACAAAAAGCCAGCCGACTGCTACCTGTGTGGCACCTGGGCCGTCTGGTCTGAACAGACTGACTTTCCTTAGAAGTGCAGCATTTAACTGAAACATGAGTAATTTTCCCATCCTTTCTTAATGCATCAAGTGGAGAAAAGTTACCCTTTTCAAGTAGCTAAGAATATATTATAATTTTCAAGAACCCTTCACCTGGATACTGAGAGCCAATCCTCTCCTCCTGTCACGGACACCTCATCTCACTGCAGCCCCTCGCACACTCCCCGTCAGGTAGGGTCCAGACCCTGGCCCGCAGCTTCACCCCAGCTCAGCCTTCCTTCAGGCACCCTGACTAGCCTATCTTGCCTTCTTCTTCCTGGGCTGCGTGAACCCATTAACTAACTTTCTTCCCCCTTCCTGCTCATTCCTAGAAAAGATACACCTCTTCCCCCATAGAAATCCATCCAGAATTGGAAATCTATGCCCCAGATACTCTGCGATTACAAAATTACAATGGCAGATCCTAAAAACCGTGCCCTCTGGCCATCTCCATCCAGGTGAAGGCCACATTTCCGTCTCAGCCAAGATCGCCAGCCCCGAATGGGCTCGCCAGACAGTCCCACCAATCAGGGTGGCCCCCAGTCAGCCCACCAGCTGACCACCCCCAGCTCTTACCATACCCGTTCCTCGGGTCCCTGTGGTCAGGCTACCCAGCTGCCTTTCAAACATCGGCCACGTTGCTGCAACCTCTCAGGTCCCACTGCTGATCTGTGGTGGAGTTTCAGCTCTGATCCCCACTCATCCAAGTGATTTGGGGTTTTCAGATTCTGGTAGCCAGTAACTAGAGAAAAATAAGAGTGGACAAAAAGGGGAACACTGGAGTTAAATGCTGGAATTTTTTCTCCTTGGTCCCACTTATCTTTAACTGTTAAAGGCAGTTCCTACTCAAGTCTAAGGGTCCTTTCTCATCCCACAGCAGTGGGGCAGTTTCAACTGGGGGTGATTTTGCCTCTCGGGGGACGCTTGACAAAATTTAGAGACATTTTTGGTTGCTACAACTAAGGGGATGCTACCGGCATCTAGTGGGTAGAGGCTAGGGATGCTGCTAGGCATCCTTCAGTGCCCGGGACAGTCACCACAGCAAAGAATTACCTGGCCCCCGATGTCACCAGTGCAGAGGCTAAGAAACCACCATCGAGATGTGATCTGTTGACCAATTCTTAAATTCTTCACTCCGGCGTACTCCCACCCATCCCGTCCTAGGCCCGCTGCTCTCTCCTGTAATGTCCCCCCTTTTCTTCTCCAGTGCTCCAGGTGTTTGAGCTTCTATCACCAAACATATTTCTCCCCTTGAAGGTTTTATCTGATCTAGTGATTTCATATCCTAAGAAGAATAACTATCCCTTTGAATTCGGGGTCTTTACCTTCCTTCTAAACTTCGGTCTCTTCCTCCTAAATAATAAGCTGAAGAAAATCTCCACCCAGACTGTACCTCCTTCCTTCCCCTCTGCCATGTCTAAAACCAGACTGGCTCCACCACCATGCCAGCTTCTCTATCCTACAGGTGTCCCATCATCCAGGCGCCAGACTTGACTCCGCCACCCTTTGTGCGTCGCACAGAAGTCGCTGGAGGGTCCTCTGGGATCCCTCTTGAGTCCCTCCCTCCAGCCCTCCTGCTTCCTTCCCTGTGCGTGGTTCTCGCTCCCTTAAAGGTCATGACCAGACACAGCCTCCTTTGTTCTCTTCAACAGGACCATCCTCCGCACTGCCTCAAACCTGTCCTAAAACTAGGCTCAAATCCTCACTTGCAGGACAAAAAATTCAGTATCTCTTCCATTTCCTACCAAAAGAGCCTCAAAACTGCCTGCCCTGAGAAATCCTACCCAATTTTTCCTGCCTCTCTCCCCCACTGGCCCTCCCAGACCCGGCAAGGTGGCCTGTTCTCTTTACCCAGCCATGTGCCACGTTTCCCACTGTTGGATCTTTGTTCGTGGTAGGCCAACGTCTCCCATCCCCCCCCCTTCTGTTCACAGCCTAGACATCTATCCCTCCACAGAGGCCCACGTGAAACTCTATTTTCTCCAACAAGGTCCCCCCAGTTGCAGGTCTTTTCTTTCCTTTTTATGTTGCTTAGCCTCTGCGAGGGAGGCCTGCTCTCTGCCCAATCTGTATCCCGCCAATGCCTGTGCTCTCCTGGCAAACAACCAGGATGCTACCGGCTCATGAGGATGTAAAACAGAGACCCTGTGCCCATTCCTTGCTGACGTGGGCGGCGCGCGAGGCCTGGCGAGAGCAAACCGTCCCTCTGAGGCCCCCATCGTGGCCTCCCTGAGGCTCCAAACCGCGACGTCTACTAACCTTCCACTTCGGCAGGGCTCAGCACCCCCGCGACCTCAACTCCTTATCCATCTGGGGCCGCTCCTCTGCAGCGGGGCAGTGAGCCCCTCTCCTCAGGGTCTGGGCCCTCTACCTCCAGGCCCTGGAAAGCCTGCTCCTCGCCTCACCCCGGCGGCGGATCCCTGTTAGGTGGGCTCGCCCACCGCCATCAGCGAGAACAAGGGTTGGTCCCTGAGAGCCCTCACCTCCCCTTTCAGCCTTGGTGACTTGGGGCGCCAGGAAGAGCGACCCCACGGCGCCACCCAGCCTCGTGGCGGTCCAGACCTGGCCGCCATACGCCCACCCACCAATCTGCTTCTAACCACCCCGGCCGCATAACCTCTTAGGGCGTTCCAACGCGGCGCCCCCTATTGGACCTCCCACTCATATCCGGTTTCCGGTCCGACGCCCCCCGCTCATTCGCCAGGCAGCCTTGATTGGCGTGACCCCAGCCCAATGGCCGACCCAGCGCTGGGGTCGGAGGGGAGCGAGTTGACTGTTGCGACCCAGTTGGACCATTCAGTGGATGCCCAAAAGGTTGAGCCGTTACGCGTGGGGTTAGTTGTCCAAAGTTTGAACCAAAGTTCAGTGTTGGCACTTGGAAGTGTGTAGACCCGAAGAGATGAGAGGAGACGCCCTTGGGGAGGCTCCACACGTTACCCGGGGTCCAACTTGGTCAGCTTCCTCCTCGCAGCGCGGCCACGTGCGGGGGCAGTGAGGCGCTCTGCCTGTGACCCCCTCGTTTGAAGAGGGTTGCGTTAGGTTTCACGAGGTTGGAGCATACGTGCGTACGTGGTTCGCTCGACTGCGGCTGGCAGATACAGCGATCCAGGCAGTGCGATCCCGGCGATGCGCCCCGCTTGCCGCATCCCGCCGCCCCTCCCCCCGCCCTAAGGCCAGGCGACCACCTGACTCTTGCCCAGCTGCCTTACACCTAAAAGTGGCTCACAGGTCCCTGTCACCCACTGGCGAGTCAGATACGATGCCATGCCCGAGTCCCGGGTCTTACGCGAACAGCAAACAGCAAATTTTTCCTGGGGCTCAAAGCCAGATTTCGCCGACCCCAAACCCAGATCAGTGTGCATGCACGCACGAGCCCACCCAAGTGGTGTAGGCATTGATCCCCGCCGGCTCGGAGCCCACCACGCGCTACGGCAACGGGAATGCAGCCGGGCGACTGCCGGGTTTGTGGCAAGACTTGTGTGCCTCCTCAGCGGGCTCAAGCGCTGGAAAAGTAAAGCTGCTGCTCTGGGAGACCCACAGCGAGAGCAGAAGGACTGGAAGGGGGCTGGAGGAGGGCTGGAGCGGGGCTAGAGGAGCAGACTGACCACCCCCGCAGCCGGTGCCCGAGGTGGGGAGCAGCGCACAGCGGCCGCAGCTGCCCGCGCGGCACGGTGTGTATTTTTGGATTTGGTGCGCATGGGGTTTCTCAGTCTCTGAGACCACCCTAAACCGGCTGTAAATTTCAACTGAAATTCCATTTAGCCCTTCCCCCCGCACAGTAGGACCCCCGGAACTCTGGGGCCTACAGTCTGTGGGGTCCCTGTGTGCGTCCCACGCCCCCGCGTTCCGTGCCGCGGCGGCTACCGCTTAGAGAGTCTCGGTGGTAGATGCCCGAGACCCTCTTATTCCCCTGTATTTATCATAGTCCCCATAAACGGGGAGGAACCCTGCCTGCGCCACCGCAGGCCACTGCTGAGACCCCAGAGTGTGGTGGGGATGGGGGACATAGAGGTGCTTTATAGGAGCCAGCCTCGGCAACCGGCAAACAAAAACGCAGAAGCGATGGAAAGTACCCCAACACATTTTAAAAACAAATTGCGTGCTCACACTCGGCACCCCTTGCCCCTCGCCTCCTGCCTGCTCCGCCGGTGGGCTCACGACCACCTGTCGCATCCCCGCGCGCGCCTGCACCCCCTTCCCACCCGCCCAAAGCCTTGCGCTCCAGACCCGGGCAGGATCCGAGGCTGCCCAGGGCTGGGGGCTGGGACTCAGGGGTTCAGGGGTAATTTGGGGTTATGAAACACTCCTGCAGTCCCCCCTCCCCTCGAGGAGAGTCTGTTGGGTCTGGGAGGGAGGGTTTCAGCTCCTGCGCTCAAGCAGCCCGGGGCCCACGTCTTGCATCACGTGTCCCGCAACGCAGGAGAGCTCTCTCTCTGGCCAGGGGAGAAGAGAGGAGAAAGACTCCAAATCAGACAGGGAGAGGACTGGAAGGAACCAAAACGTCCCTGCGAGGCCTGCGCTCATCAGCCCCCTTACCCAAAGTCCGGGGCTCCCGGCTCCCGGAGCCGGCTCCCGGAGCCACCTCGGCCGGGGCTGGCGTCCCCTGGTGGCAGAGAAAGAGCACTACGAGCGATTTTCGGACCGAATCGGCACGCTCCTCTGATCCAAGCAGGCGGGGCTGGCCTGGAGCTGAGAGAAAGAGAGAGGAGGGAACGAAGCAGGCCTAAGGGGGGGCCAGGGGCCGCCTGAGGGGATAAAAAGTGGCCAGAAAGGAGCCAAGACTCAACCAGCAACAATAGACTTGCTTCTGCCATGGTCTGGGGTTTGAGGTCCTGAACCCCTAGACCTCACTAGGGTTAGAAAGTGCGGTTGGAGAACTTTCCAGCTGGTACTTCAAATTTTTTTTTTTTGAAAATATTTTTTTCACCCTAGTTCGGTCGGGTGCTCCGTCTTACGGGGCCCCAAGTTTATTTTAAGAAACCGCCACCGTGTTATGGGCGTGCGCAACTGCCTCGACGGCAATAATATGTCAGGACAACGCAATATCCCCCTTGAACTCGGCGAACAGCCCGAGCAACCACCTTTGGAGGCCCCAGGGGCAGCTGCCCCCGGTGCTGGGCCTGGCGCAGCCGAAGAGATGGAGACCCCACCGCCTCACAGCGAGCCCGTCCCCGTCGAGATTGAAGGCGAGGACTGTGGACCCCCAGAAGTCTCCAGACCCAAGTTCCAGGACCTCAGCCAGGCCATCAAGGAAGCCGGAGCCCATGGAGGCTACAGCCCACCTCCTGAAGAAGCCATGCCCTTCGAGGTCGAGCAGTCCAGCTTGGGAGGCTTCTGGCCTACCCTGGAGCACCCTGGAGACACCACTGGGGCCCATGCCGGCCTTGAAGTCTTCAGCCCACCGATCGTGGAGCCCAGAGCCTTCGGTGAGGCCAGGCCAAGCCTGGGAAGCTACAGCCCTCCTCCCGAAGAAGCTATGCCCTTTGAGTTTGAGCAGCCTGCCCAGGGAGGCTGCAACCAACTTCTCTTGCAGGTCTCAGACCTCGCTCCAGGAGGCCCGGGTGCGGGGGTCTTTAGGGCTCCTCCCGAGGAGCCCCGGGCTCTCAGACCTGCAAAAGCAGGCTTCAGAGGAGGATGCAGCCCTCCCCGTGAGGAGGATGTGCCATTTGAGTTTGATGGAGCAGCCTTTGGGGACGACAGCCCACCCCCTGGGCTCCCCCAAGCTATCCCACAAATCGACGGCCTTGGCGGCAACCAGATCGCGGCAGTCGCGGCCCCGCGTGCGGTCCTCCTCGCTCCCGCCGCGAACGAGCCCCCCCTCTGGGTCCCAGGCATCATCGGCAGCCCATCTCGAGAGGCTGTCAGACCTCCTCCACACTTCGCGGGCAACAGCCCCCCGATGGAGATCTCCGGACCCCCGCGCGAGATTGGCAGCGCCCCCGTTGGGGTCGACGACGCTCCCGTCAACGTGGACAGCCCCCCAATCGCGCTTGACGGCCCGCCCATCGAGGTCTCCCGAGCCCCAGTTAAGAGAGAGCAAGCAGAGGGAGAGAGACCCCCAGTTGAGGGAGAAGCAGCCGAGATGGAAGGAGGCTCAGCCGACGCTGCCGCGGAGAGAGGCAAAGTCCCCGATCCCGGAGACGGAGCCCCTGCCGCCGGAGCAGCCCCTGACGCGCCAGCCGCCGGGGCAGCCCCTGACGCGCCAGCCGCCGGGGCAGCCCCTGATGCTCCTGCCGCCGGGGCAGCCCCTGCCGGCCCTGACACGCCAGCCGCCGGGGCAGCCCCTGCCGCCCGGGCAGCTCCTGTCGCCCGGGCCGCCCCTGTCGCCCGGGCCGCCCCTGTCGCCCGGGCCACCCCTGTCCCCCGGGCCGCTCCCGCCGCCTGGGCAACCCCAGCCTCTGGAGCCCGACCCAAGATCAGTTTCCTTAGACCCCCCAGCCCCGAGATCCAGGCTGCCGATCCGCCTACTCCGCAGCCTCCTCGCGCATATGCCTGGCGGGGCAGGTCTGAGCGCAGCTGCTACCGCGGCCACGACGACGAAATATCGGTCAGCAGCGACAGCGGAGACGAATCCGACGATGGGACCTTCGGATGCCACCGCTGGTTTCAGTCCAGGCGAAACCGCCGCCACCGAAAGACCCAGCGCAACTTGCTCCGCAACTTCCTCGTTCAGGCCTTCGGAGGCTGCTTCGGCAGATCCGAGAGCCCCCAGTCCAGAGGCTCCCTCAGCCCCAAGGTCAAGAAGGTTGCCCTGGCGGAGAAGCGCAGACAGACCCACAAGGAAAGCGTGGAGAAGCGCGCCCAGAAGTGCGCAGAGAAGAAACGCAGCAAACTCATCGACAAGCAGCTCAAGAACGAGAAGATGGGCTACGTGTGTACGCACCGCCTGCTGCTTCTAGGTAATGCGGCGGACTCTGCCCGTGGGGAGCAGGGCCGCCCGGGGGCCCCGGGAGTGGGTGGCAGGGCTGCCCGGTGGGGCTTGGGGCCTGGCGGCGGGAGGAGGGGGTCTGGGCAAAGGCGGGAAGAACCTGCCAGAAAGTTCCAGCTAGGGGCCCTAACTTTGCCCCGGGAGCGGGAGGGGCCTCGGGTGGGCTTGGGTGGCGAAGTGTATGCCCTTTAGGGAGAAAAGTGGTGCCGTACAACACTGAGGGTCGTTTCCAGCTGGACAAACCAGCGCCAGCGACCGTAAGACGTCGCCGAGTCGTGGGGTGGGGGACGGCAAGAAAGGCGGGGGCTTCAGGTGAGCCAGGAACTGCAGGGGAGGGCTCCGGGGTCGCTCAGGCTAGGCTGGCTGGGGCCGTTGGTGGGTTGGGGTCATTGGAGAAGGTGCGTCCCCGCCTCGCCTGGCACGGCTGCTTGGAGTAAGACGGCTTGTTGTTGGTGTGTGTTGGTGTCCATATTGTGTCCGCCTGTGCATGATATGCTCAAGCGTTCTTCCATTCCCGCCCCTGGCACCCCCAAATTACCCGCCGACTGTGTACTTGTACCGGGGAACGGGCTGTCTTGTGTTTTGCGCCATTGCGCGGGCAAAAACTTTACGTGTTCGCACACTCGGGTGGTACCTGTGCGCTGGCGCTGTGCAGTGGGCGGCGCGAAAACGCCCGAGAAGGTAGCGGGAGACGCTGGGCAGGATGTCGGGCCGCTGGCGGGGGGAGGGGGCCGCCTCCGGCCGGCCTCCGTAACCTGTTTTCTGTCTTTCTCTCTTTTCTCCCTTTGCGCTAAGCGTTTCCTCACTTCTCATTCGTTCGCCCAACCCTCCCGCCTTTACGGTTGAAAAACCAGACACTCAGGTATCTGGGGCGTCCGGGGCTGCGCGCAGAAATTCGGTATTCTGCACACACTCTGCTCACCTGGCGGGGGATGGAGGGAGGAGGGGGAGAAAACCCCCCCCCACTTAACCCGCTGTAGGCGAGTCCCGTATCCCAAACCACACGGGGCTGGTTCCGAGGGGGAGGGGCTGGGGAGGTGGGAGGGGGCGTGGCCATGTTTAAAAAATATGAAATCATTTTTCTTCCTAGGGAAGAGCCTGAGGTAAGCCAATCATTTACCCTTTTACAGAATACAGTAGGAGGGGTTTGGTGTAAAGAGAGAGGGTTTATGCGTTGGGAGTGGAATGCCCATCTTGTGTTTGAAATGCAATTAAAATAAAACTTTTTAAAAAATGCTTCCAGTGTATTTTAAGTGTGTGGACAAAATGTGATAAAACTGTGAGACATGTAAATGCTTGCATGTGAATTCTTTCAAGCAGCTTTAGCTGGGGGCAAAGAGGCTCAAAGGTAAGATCCTCTGCATATGGGCTTGGGATACAGAAACATTAAAAAGATGTTAATAATCCCATTGGAAGGGTACCTTTGGTGGCCCTGGCCTTCCCCCTCCTCCTCCCTTCACCTATGCCAGCTTTCAGGGTCCTCTCCCCTCTCCAGGACCTCCCTCCTCCCCCCCACAGCTTGACTCTCGTGCCACAGCTAATCAAAGCAGCAATTAGCAAAGGTCTGAATGTGGGGCTTAAGTGAAAATTTCAGATGTGAAACTCCACAATCTTAATTTCTTTATTTATTCTCTAAGACCTCTCAAGGGATTTCAAGATCACAACTTTTCAGGCGGTGCTATGTTTGTTTGCTAAATATTTTATAATGTGTGATGGTGTCTATTAATGACCTATGGGCATCACTGTTTGCTGTTGTGATATGTGCCTCTTACGCATCACAGTTTTACATGTGATGCTCATTCTATTTATGCCCATCCAGGGAAATACAGACAACATCATTTCCCCAAAAACATCCAGGAGGGAGACAGTTTTACATTTCAGATGCCTCAACTGCGTGGAAGGCACAGCGCCTCAAATGACAACGTGCTGTTTTCCTGCAGACAACTGATTTTGCCACAAGAGCCCCATTTCAATATCCCAAGCATAGCTCTGGGTAGGAAACCTGTGATGGGGGAGGCGGCCATAATTGGGGGCAGACAGGAGAGCCAAGTGACGGCGTGCACTTGAGCCCTAATTGGCCAGTGCCCCTCATATGCCGGGGCCTCAGTTGCCTCATTTGTGAAATGAAACTTTCAAGCAGATCTTCACTAAATTCTCCTTTGCTCCGTGGCCTGAATCCCCTATTCTGGGGGTTGGGGAGCACCATCCACTTAAATCAGGACTGGAGCCTTAAACCATAGGTTATGCACGCATCAACTCTGTAGCAAACAGCCCGTGTCTGGGGCTGAGCCTTAAGAATATTAGAAGTCTCCCTTGCTTACCCATGTTTTATATGCAGGGGGAAAAATTCACCTTAAGTAAAGGAAATTAGCTGGGGTCACCCTGCCATCATCCTGGCCCTGCACCCAGTTCAAGCCTGTTTGCATGCAGTGTTGTCCAGTGAAACGTGGGCCCTGTCTAGCATGAACCTGAATTCAGAAAGCCAGATTGCCTGCTGTGGCAGTGTGGCTTGTTGAGCCAGGCTGCAATCTGACAAGGTTTCATTTTGCCAAAGTGACAAGAGAGGCACCCCTCTGGGTCTGAATTACTGATTGCAGAGGGGGAGAGGAGGCAGGATGAAGACCCACTTCCATTTAGGACAAGCCTTTTCACTAACATTTAGATCCTAACATATGAAACAAGACATCCGTATACGCTGAGCACTGAAAAGGGAAGATCAAGTGACCATCCTTTGATAATTGGTGACATACAGATTCATCTGTTGCTTTAAAACTGTATGTGTTTCTGTGTATATACCCTCTCCATTTTTATTGCCCAAACAGCTTAACCTCATTACAGGGACTCTTAAAAAGGAAAATGGTAGATGAATAGTTAGAAATAGATAGGCAATCAGTAACATGACTGAAATTCTAGAATAGCTAAAAAGTTGAAGCCTTTTTCTTACTCAACACTAGGCAATAATAGACTTATTTCCATGTTTCTGTTGCCTTTCTGAATAATTTCGGTGGCTTAAACGTGTTTTGGAAACCTAATTTGGGTGATTCCCTCATTTTTGTTAAGAATTGAAGGGACTGCTAGGCTAGAATTTCTTAGTAGCTGCTGAATTTATTAAAATTGTGCAGGCAAATGCTATATATAATAATGGCTATTCTGCCATGACACTTTATTTATACAGTGAATCTCAATTAATTGTATGATAATTTATTTATGCCACCAGGTGCAACAGTGAGGCATCCATCTCATCCTGCTGGAGTGCCCTTTGCTTTGCTTTTTTATTTATTTTTAATTCAGCCATTTTTCCGTATTCAAAATGCCTCCACTGAGCTGTTTGGTGCAGTGGGAAGGGCATGGCTTACCAGGCCAAAAATCTCTTCCTTGCCTTTTAAAATCCAATTTCCATAGATTTTTCTCAAAAAAAAAATGCCTTTCTATACAGCTATGTTAATTTTTATCATTTGCCTACGTTACATATACCATGGAAAACTGGTATTAAGCAAAAAAAAGTGGGGTTTGTCACCTTTTTGTACATTCCTCCCACCCCCAGCTTGAGAGGGATAGCCTCACTGCCTTCAGAATTGTTAGTAACCTGTAAGAGTAATGATTACACATAATGATAGCACTTTTTTACTGTATTTTTAAAAGCCTTTCATCCAGTGACATTTGTCCTTTGCAACAGCCTTGGGCAGTAAAAATGTGATGGGACCCCATTTCATAGGCAAGTAAACCAAAAGCTCAGAGATTAAATGTCAGGGACTTTTGCTCAAAGACTGCAAGGTAAGTGAAGGAATCAGAAGTTTCTAATTCAGTGCTTACCCCCAAAATGTGGTAATAAGTTATAAAGCGTCATTTCAGCGTGAGGCATGATTATTGTTAAGTGCGCTATGTGCTCTTAAAATCCCTTGTCAGATGACAGGTGTCCCGCAGTCTTCTGCCTCCTGAATAATAACCAGAACCAGACAGATCCTTGGTTATAAATGTCCATTGAGTGTACGTGAAATGTGAGCCTCCTCATTGCTGGGATACCTGTCACTGCTGTGGTGATATTTTGTTTCCACATTTGCTGTCATTCATCTGCCAACACTGCAGTCTTTGTTTGTTTGTTGGACTTCTTTTTTTAAATGCAGGTTTTCTTTAAAGTCTTTTTAAAAAACCCCAGAAGTGTTCTTTAGCAAGGTCTAAAGCTTTTTTTCTTTACTCAGGTTTCCACTAAAAAAATCATTATGATCATTTAAAAATACAGTTGCTTTTATGCAAACCCCTCCATTATTAGTGTTAGAGTGTAATAGACTGTTTAGAATCTCCTGGCCTGGATCTAATGACCCTATTAAAATAACTCTTACTCAATATTCTTCATAGTGATTATTTCTTAAAAGTATTCCTTCCTTTCAGTCGGGGCTAATTCCTTCTTAGTGAGTGTCAGTACATAATCTTGGAAATCACCTTTGACTTTTATGGGGGAAGGTTGGTATTAAGCAAAAAAAAAAAAAAAAAAAAAAAAAAACTTTTTTAGACACGGTAACCTAATTGACTAGATTTGAAATTCTCCATCCCAACCGTGTGTCTTCTTTATAGAGTTAATTTTCCCACCAAATAAAACATACCCCTCACCCCAGCAAAACCGTGGCCCTCCAAATCCCTCTCCATTAAGTGACTTTTAGGAGGCATGTAAATAGCAAATGAAAACTGGTCTCTACACTTCTTGGTTTCTTTAACCTGTGGCAAAGGCAGGGTTCTTCCCAACCCACCTTGTGCCTCCTAGGGTTTCTAATGGAATGTGAAATTAACATGCCAGTTGTCCATTTCAAAATCGGATTCCTCTGCAAGTGTAGCAATTTTCAAAACAGAAAGGGCAGGGCCAGTTGCTGTGACAGGGTTCCCACCAGCAATTAAAACAGTCAGGCCATTCTAATTAACCCTCTCCAGCTCTGGTGGCCCCCCCAGTAAGAGGAACTCAGACTCCGGCCCTGTTAACACCAACCTCAACAGATTCATTGAATTAGACTGAAAGGGTCTTTGTCCCATCAGATTCCTGTTGTGGCCTGTGGTCACCCTGGGCATAAGATCCTCATCTCTTCAGGGAGTGAGAGAAAGATGGGCCTGAGTCTCTCTCTTTGGGATTCTGCTAAAGAGTCAGCAAGTCAAAGTGGCCTTTATAAAACTGAGGAAGGCTAGTGGGAAGCCCCAGATACAAACTGGCCATTGGAGTAGGCCAAGGGAGGGGAGGGGTGTTTGCAGAAGAATCAGAGGAAGATATGTCCTTTTCCTTAATTCCTCTAAAATGGGGGCCAGATACTAGAAATTGAGAGAAGCCT